GTGTATTTACCCTTAATTTGAGTAGGTAAATAAGAAAATCTTCCAGTGGGAGGTGTATTTTTATCCATAAAATCAGATTATTTGATATTATGCACTTGAAATAGGAGACTGCATTTTTTTCCCTTATTTTAAATGTAAATTTTCTTATTCCATTTGCAATTCAAGAAAAAATGACGTACTTTTTCAGTTTTTTACAGTGCAGTCTTTGCTTGAAAGTTAGAAATCTAAAGTCTTTCACTATAAAGGGCTAAAAGACCTGCCCTCTTCACTTAAAAAAATGCACATTGAGACCATGCAGGAGTCCATTTCTCCTCATGCAAATTGTTTAACATTTGCTGTTCTCATAGCTCATACAAGCTTGCTGTGCCAGAATGTCCGCCCTAACCCCTAAATCCCAAAGACTATATAGTGGACTCTATAGTGAACCCAGTTAAAGGTGCTGTAGGAGATCTTGGAAAAACAGTTCTATAGAACATAGAAAACCATGCCTCTCCCTCCAGTCCACCCCTCGAAACCTCACCTTCCAAACACATGAATGTGCATGCTGTCTGCAGCACGTCTAGAGCAGCAGGAGCAGCGCTGATGATGCAGAAAGCTATGATCACTCCTCTGAAAAGTTTTTTTAACATTGAAATTAACTTAAAATGCTGAAATCTGCTGGCAAAACGTGTTCGCTTTTATTATCCTGGTCCCGGCAGTTTGGATTACATACATGAAAAACTCCTTCCAGCCGCCACGGCAAACCGTGAGGAGGTGACCGGGCCCAAGGCTGCTGTTGAACGGGATACCTAGTGACAGAGCTCCGCCGGTGTAAGGGGGTCTGAGCAGCTCAGACAGAAATAATACTTGAAGGCAGGGTGGAAATCTGGATGAACTCTCTGCACTGACCATGGTTTCAGGCGGACTTTCTCACTTCAAAATAGATTCAAACTACTTTTTACCCACTGATTACAGCATATGGCTGCCATTGTTACAGGCAAAGAAAGGATAGGGTAGCTCCGCCCAACGAGCATCAGACCCATTTTTCCACCGTTCAGGCAGAGCTGCAGACATGTCCTACTTTTCAGACCTAAAAAAAGGTCCGGGGTGAATTTCAAAATAGTCGTCGGATTTTGGTCGACTACAGTGCAGCACGTAGTCAAAACAGGGAGCCAATGGGGGATGGAGCGGCCAAACCTGACCGGTGACGGTAGCCTGGAAACCTGCGTCCCTGTGCTTTCCCCCGCCTACCTTACTGGGCCCCAGCCCCCCTCCTCCGGCTGAAGACAGGCGGCTCATGGCTCTCTGCTGAGGTCTGGTCCAGTCAGCGGCCCAGCAGTCGACCCCCCCACTCCCCCAAAAAGTGTCTTCTTTTCAGAACCCCAAATCTGGCCACCCTAGCTCTAGCACTTGCACGAAAAATGAAGCAGCACGCACGTTTTTGCTGCTCTTGCTGCTTTAGGTGTGAACGTAACATAACAGTGGATAGCTTCCAGCCATGGCGTCCTGAACGAGCATTTGGGGGTGGATTCGTTCATGTTTCAGGGTACGCGCACAAGGGGAAGGTACAAGCAGACGACCATGATTGACGTGTCAGGAACCAATCGTGTACAACAGACCGTCTTTTGTGATTGGTTGGGGTTATTCATTGATTTCTCACTGTAGCGGCAACAATTTATTTTAGTTTCACTTCCAGCCCCTTAGGAATGGGGAGTTGTTTCGGGTTCTTTGTTAGCCTGCAATACCCGATACTGGTCTATGCCTCTTAGAGGGGGTCATTAGGGGCCATTGTTGGCTTGGCTGCCCAGGCGAGATGCTTTGTCCCCTGCATGGGGTTGAGGGTTGAAATGATAGAGGGAAGGAATCAAATTCCCAACACTAATTCTGACATTTTGAATTAAAAAAGCTTCACCAGCAGTAATTTCAGCCTCTTGGTTCAGGGAACTTCTTTTAGGTCATGATCTCATGACCATGTTAGGGCTGGGGCATATACTGTAGGTAGAAGAGCAAATGGACAACAGATCTACACCCTGAGAAAAATACCAAGATACTCCTCAATATCAGGCAAAGACCGGCTCCTGACGAGTCATCAAATTTCATTGGGGTTAACAAAACCTTTGTGGCCTTGACAAACAGAATCCAATGACCCCCCTCAGCAGCTCTGTGAGAAAAAAGATCTAATCCAGTGTTATAGGGCCTGGATGAAGGCCATATTGCTTCTCCCGAAACCTCGGCTCAAACAATGAGGGCTTTCTTTCTAACAAACTTGGACTCATTTTAGTGACGCAAATAAGGCTCTGGGCACTCTTTAAACATCTAACCAGTGTGCCAGATGGTCTGCAGCTGAAGAAAGGTCTCAAATGAGAAGGAATTCAGACACGCAGTGGAAAAGGACTGTTTGGAGGCCTCAAGAATGTTCTGGAAAACCATTTTACAACTTAAACTGAACTTAATTATGTGTGAATGGTGATAGGCCGATCCCTATTTGAGAAACCATTTTACTCCAGCCATCTTATCTACTGCTGCAAAGGTCTTAAAATGATAAAACTAGACATTATTTGAGAAATCTTTACTTTTGATGAAAATAGAATACAGTAAAAATACAGTGAGCAGTTTAGTTTTTAGAAATAAAATAACGTCACACAGACGTCGCCGTATTCGCACCAAAATATATTCTGGGTAAATGACGGATGCTAGGTCCTTTAGTGCTAGCTCTAACTGGCAGGGGGAAAAAAGCAATGAGCAATATAAACCTTTTACGTTTGAACAGGAGTGAGTAGTATTTATTTGGAAATCACATGATGAGGAGGACCAAACATAGGAAGAAGGGGGAATGGGGCAAAGAAGCTGGTGTTGTTAGGCTCCTGCTAACGGATGCTAGCAAGACCGAGAGCTATCCTACAAAGAGCTCCAGTTTCTAAGGCTGTTCACCATAAACATCAGAATCCAAAAATGTTATCAGATATAGTAGAATGATTTGTAATAATATATAAAATATGCCTCATTTTAACTTCAAACTATCGCTCATTATCTTCTGATTTGATTTTTATTTCAAGTTAGCTTCTGCTAGCAGGGCCTGGGCTGCTCAGCTCGAGTTTTTACGAATCAAAAAAAGGAATTTTTGAGTTAACGGGAAAACCGACATGTTGTGGATCCTTTTGAAATCAAGTCGATGCTCCAAATTTTTCATTTAGATTTATGGTTACAATCTAATGTGCAGTCAGAACAAGTTTTTTAAATACGCTGAAAAAGTAGAGAGGTGGAATTATTCAGGGTTTATTTTGACCATTGTGACAAAGTGGGTGAGAACACCATTTGTCTCAGTTTATACATTTGTTATTTTGTTGTTATTTAATCAAAACAAGACATTGGGTGTCTGGTAGTTTTCTTCAATCTCAAGTGAATAAACTTGAGTGTTTGTAACTGAGGTTACTTCCAAAATCTCATTATTCTAAGTGTCCCTACACGGCTTCTTTCTAATTGCTTCTCTTATGAGAAATCAGACACAAAAAGGTTTTAATTACTTCAGATTTTCTGCCTTCTTTATAGTCTAATTTATCCAAGTTTTTTCCTTTATTTGTTTAATGAGAAAGTAACCAGAGAAAGCAAAGAAGAGAAAATAATTTAGAATTTTGACTTCTTGTTTGAACTTGAGAATGTTGTTTCTGGCTTGGTCCAAACTGGACAAACATTTCAAAAGCCGTTAAATTAAAAATCCTTTCAATAATAATCTTCTACCTCACAGACTCCTGATAAAAGAAAGTGAATAATTTTCCATCCCAATTTTCCAGGTTTGGCATGGTTTACTTTTCGGTTTTTTTAATGTATTGAAAACAAACAAATCAACATTAATTTGTTCCCTCCGTGTCGAACTTAAACTTCAGGTGCTAAACCCTGATTCCTCTGTACTGTTAAGTGCTTTGACAAACTGGCACGTATAAAATGTGGTTAAAAATACATGGACTTATGGCGAACATTTCTACAGAGATCAGATTATTAATATGGAACTTTGAAAAAACTGAACAGATGACTATTTGATGGATGCTTTTAATAATAACTTTAAACAGAAAAAGGTCACAGTCAGGCCCGCTCAGCCAGATCAGCTGGTGATCAACAGAGGGTAAACTAACAATTCTTAATTCTGATTATCTTAAGCTTTACCCAAAGCTTTCTTAAAGAAAACAATCCAAAACAACGCTTTAAAAATATACGGAGCCCCTAAAGGGACATGGAAGGGAAAAAAAGAACTTTTGCGAGATCCAGCAATACTTTTGTGAGATCCCGCAATACTTTTACGAGATCCCGCAAAACTATTGCGGGATCTCGCAAAAGTATTGTGAGATCCTGCAAAAGTATTGCAGGATCTCGCAAAAGTTTATTTTTTGTCAGATCCCGCAATACTTTTGCGAGATCCCGCAATACTTTTGCGAGATCCCGCAATACTTTTACGATAATCCCGCAATACTTTTGCGAGATCCCGCAATACTTTTACGATAATCCCGCAATAGTTTTGCGGGATCTCATAAAAGTATTGCGTGATCTCGCAAAAGTATTGCGGGATCTCACAAAAGTATTGCGGGATCTCACAAAAGTATTGCGGGATCTCACAAAAGTATTGCGGGATCTCACAAAAGTATTACGGGATCTCGCAAAAGTATTGCGGGATCTCGAAAAAGTATTGCGGGATCCTGCAAAAGTATTGCAGGATCTCGCAAAACTTTTGCGAGATCCCGCAATACTTTTGCAAGATTACGCAAAAGTATTGCGGGATCCCGCAAAAGTATTACGGGATCTCGCAAAAGTATTGCGGGATCTCGAAAAAGTATTGCGGGATCTCGCAAAAGTATTGTGGGATCTCGCAAAAGTTTTGCGGGATCTCGCAAAAGTTTATTTTTTGTGAGATCCCTCAATACTTTTGCGTGATCCCGCTAAACTATTGTGGGATCTCGCAAAAGTATTGCGAGATCCTGCAAAAGTATTGCGGGATCTTGCAAAAGTTTATTTTTTGCGAGATCTCGCAAAAGTTTTGCGGGATCTCGCAAAGGTTTTTTTTTTCCCTCCATGTCCCTTTAGGGGCTCCGTAAAGATCTGTTGAGAAACTTTAAACCATGTTTGGAAGAAAGTAATCACAGAGACGTCAGAGGTTTGATTGGTTTTGGATTTGATCAGTTTCTTCAGCCGATCCACCACCTCCTGTCCCCCCAGACCGGTGCTGCCTCTCATGTTTCAGTAACTTGTGTTTGAGGGTGAATCCTTTCCCACAGACTTTGCATTTGAACTTCCCGACGTGGAGTTGTCTGTGCTGCTTGAGGCCGGCGCTCTGAGCGAACCTCCTGCCGCAGACGTTGCACCCAAACATCTTTGTGCTGCGGTGAGTCAAGGCGTGCGCCTTGAGGTTGCTGGGGTTGTTGAACTCCTTCCCGCAGTGGCTGCAGGTGTACGGTTTGTTTTCAGTGTGGATTATCGTGTGCCGCTTGAGGCGGCTTGCCGAGGTGAAGGTTTTGCCGCATTCGTCGCAGGCCGGCCTCTCTCCACGTTTCTTTCCCGTGTGGACCCTCTTGTGGTTTTGCAGCGCGCTGGCGTGCCCGCAACGTTTGCCGCAGGTCTCGCAGATGTGATCTTTCTGTCCGGTGTGTTTAAGCATGTGGTGCTTCAGGGCGCTCTGGTGGCTCAGCTCTTTCCCACAGATAGGGCAACTAAAGAGTTTCTTTCTGCCATGGTTAATCGAGTCGTCGTAGGAGTTTTCTTCCTGTAGGTGAGTGACTCTGTGAGTGGCCAAAGACGAGGACGAGAGGAACCTCTCGCCACACATTTCACAAATAAAGTCCTTGTTCTCCGAGTGGAGAACCTCGTGATCGGCCAAACCTTTTCTGCACTCAAACGTCTCTGGACAAACGGAGCACACGAAAGTTCTTTGCAGTGCGGAGCACATGTGTCGCTGGAACATGGACATACTTGTGAACTGGTTCTCGCACAGCGGGCAGGTATGCATGAAGATTTCCATCTTCTTCAGAGTGTGGCTCCGCATGTGTCGGTCAAACGTACTCTTGTAGGCAAACCGGATCCCACAGTCCGGACAGCTGTACACCTTTTCACCCGTGTGTTTCCTGGTGTGGGGGATCAGATCGCGGAGGGTTGCGAAACACTTGCCGCAGTGAGAACAGGTGTGAGGTTTGGTGTGACTCTGGTTGTGCCTCTCCATTAGGCACTTCTGAGTAAATGTTTTGTCACATGAAGTACACTGGATTGACCCCGCTTTCTTTTTGGAGACGTTTGTTTGTTTGAAGTTTTCCTCTCCGTCATCGGGATCCGGCGCAGGAGGGTGGTCGAGCGAAACTGCATCAGGAGCAGGCGAAGGTTCAGAGGTCACTTCCTCACATGAGGCTGCAACGGAGAAAAGAACATGGCTGAAATTAAATTAAAAGTTTCCTATAAGGTTTTATGGTAAATATTGTCACATTAAAAAGCTGCAAAACAAAAACTTTTAACTAGGATTTTACAATTTCAAAGTGGGGTGAAAAAATTTTAAGTAGTTTTAGGCCAATTTTCTTTGCAAGAAACATAAAACACAGACATGTGGAATAAAAAGAGACACGTTTTTCACCTTATCAACAGAACAAGTGAAACAACTGCACTCAGTTTTTGAAGCAAACTTATATTTAGATTTAATTTTTGTCTCAAAAAATCTCATTACCTTCTAAAGCTGATTGCTCTTATTGATCCGCCCATTTTCCCAATTTCTTAAAGACCGAGTTTTCTCTTGATCTTTCTATAATGCGGAGGGATAATTCTTCAATGTATTTCTTAAACATTATTAAACTCAACTAGAAAAAGCTGTTTTGGAGAAACATCAAAGTGGGAATGCTTTTGCTGAATGAAAAAAGCTGAAATTACCTGAAGAACATATGAAAATGTGATAGGAAGTCATCAGAAACTTCAAACTGCAGAAAACAATTGAATCATCTGAAGATTTTGTAGGGTAGAATCATTTGGCAGTAAAATGGCAGAAACAAACTCATCTTAAAAGCTGCACAGCCAAACCATACATGATATCAAAAAATGTCTTGAATGTGGGCACTAGAAGGGTCTTAATATAATGTCTCCCAAGTTTCTAGAAAAAATGTATAATAATAATCATATGTGGAAATGTCAAGACTTGGCAAAACAATTGGAAAATTATTTAAAATGTGTCGGTTGATCAGCATAAAGAAAACAGTGTCATCCTTAGAGGATTGAAAATCTACAAACCTATGTGCAAGACTGACCATGAGAAGCAGAGGAAGGACAGAGAGAGAAGCTTATAGAAAGAGAGCTAATACCACTTAAGGAGCTGAATTTATCAAAAAATTGAACCTGCATGTTACGAGCCGCTGTGGTAATGAAAGCACCGTTGGCAGGCTTAGGCTGCATGTTACAAGGTTAGCAGATGCTTTATTACAGTGTAAATCTTAGAACCTGATTAAGAAATATGCACTGAGGTGTGTGGTCAACAGGCCTTGGTAGTGTAATTTGAAGAAATTGGTTGACTTTGGGTCATAGCTACAAGCCATACGGCACAATGAATGAGTGTGCGTAAGGAAGAGGCTTTTATTTTGTAGGTTCCCTTTAGTCTTATTTTGAAAGTCTATCATGGATGTGTGTCAAGGGAAGGGTCATGCCCAGCAGTGATATAGAATCCATTTCCAAATATGAAATCACTGGTTTTCCATGTTATTGGGTGAATAGATGCTGTATTAGAGCATAAATGGGAGACTTTTATTGTGAAATTTGCTCTGGGGTATGTTTTGAAAAGGTCCCTAGAGTCTAATAGAAACAAGCTGGTAGAGTTTGGGTCATAATGCTGAGCCATTTGCATCAATTAATAGGCGAGTATAATATAGAGGCTTTTATTGTGTAGGGTCACTGGAGTCTTATTTTGAAAGTCTAGCAGGGTTGTGTGTTGAGAAAAGGGTCAGACCCAGCAGTGATACTTGATGACTTTCCAATCGTTAAATTACTCTTTTCCCTTGTTATTAGGGCAGTAGATAAAGTGGCAATGGGAGGCTTTTATTTTGAAATTTTCTGTGGGGTGTGTTTTGAAAACCCCCTAGAGTCTCATTTTTAAAAAAGTGGTTGAGTTTGGGTCATAATGTTGAGCCATATGCTGGGAAAAAAATATGAGTTTAATTTAGGGGCTTTTATTTTGAAGGGTCCCCGGAGTCTTATTTTGAAAGTCTATCAGGGTTGCGTGTGAAGGGAAGGGTCATGGCCAGTAGTCATATTGTATCCACTTCCTAATGTTAAATCAGTGTTGTCTCCCTCCATTAGATTAAAATGTGCTGTTTAAAGTGGTGGAGGTAAAATCCCTTTGAAGCACGGTTACCTTGACAACGCTTAACGAGCCTGTCAGTGACAGAGAGACATGCGCTTCACTTTCGTTCCTTTCCTCTCAGGCTTTTTTGAATGGGAATATCAGCTCCGAACAAACGAGTGCTGAAGACAAACCGTAAATGGTATCTAAAAAATTCTTTCAGTCTAAGCGAGAGCTATCCTTTGTCTCCAATTGGGGTAACTTTCATGGATGTAGCTCATTCACAACCTTAATGGGAAGGAGGAATAAAAAGGTTTGAGAAATCCTGCTGGTCTCATTGAATAACATGCAGCACAATGGTAGAGCAGACGTCTCAAAAGCAAAACTTTCCCTCCGAACAAACGAGCGGTAAGCCAAAACCGTATTAGGTATTCAAAAAATTCTTTCACCGTGAGCGTCAGCCATCTTTGGACTACAACTGGTGTAACTTTCATATTTCTACAATATTTTGTCTAGGCGTGGTGACGATGTAAAAAAGTGTATAATTGTCAAAATCTTGATTTTGGGGTTCGGACAGATTTGTTACCCCCGAACAAACCTTGTTCCTAGCTAAACGATAAAAGATATCGACACACTTCCTTCAATGTGAGTGCTAGGAAGGTCTGAGGAACAACTTCCACAAGGCTCATGTTGCTACGTCGAACGGTTCCCGAATGGGAGCGATACGAAAAAGTCTGTTTTTTTGAATTTTCAGTTCGGATTTTCAGAGAGCTCTCATTGGATTTCTATTGGAGAAGTGTGGACTTCTTCGTGGTCTGGGCCAAACTGTCGGAAAACCGTAAATGCCACACAAATGAGGGTTACATTTCCTGAATCCTGACAAAAATCCCTACGTTTTGATGTAAAATTTATCTAGATAGAGTAAAAAATGAGCGAGTGAGTTGAAGCTGTTCGGCATGAGTGAAATGTTTGAAAACGCTAGAGTGGCACACTCTAGCAGCTGAACATTCCGTCCATAGACTTCCATTATAAATTTGAAAATCTGTAAAAATTGTTTAAAAGTTTGAAGCTTCACTGAAGCAAAACTGTAAAAGTTAGCTGAAAGCCGAGTTAAACAGTAATAGCAGAAAGATACGGAAACATTTTAAAAGTTGAATGGTGTTTCTAGCTGAAAGCATGCTGAAGTAGTTAAAGGGCAAAGTAGCTGAAGATTTAGTGGAATTTTTGAAGTTTTACATGCATTTCAATGGGGCCAAAAATCGCAGAAAAAGCTGAATATCGCGAAAACTGCGAACAATATCTTTACCAAAAGTCATAGCATAACTCTCCTGAACAAGCTGAACGTTTTGATACCAAATTTGTTTAAATCAGCTGAAAACTGTTGAACTAGTTAAACGAAGAAAAACCTACGGAATAATAATAATAACTAGAAAAAGCTGTTTCGGAGAAACATCAAAGTGGGAATGCTTTTGCTGAATGAAAAAAGCTGAAATTACCTGAAGAACATATGAAAATGTGATAGGAAGTCATCAGAAACTTCAAACTGCAGAAAACAATTGAATCATCTGAAGATTTTGTAGGGTAGAATCATTTGGCAGTAAAATGGCAGAAACAAACTCATCTTAAAAGCTGCACAGCCAAACCATACATGATATCAAAAAATGTCTTGAATGTGGGCACTAGAAGGGTCTTAATATAATGTCTCCCAAGTTTCTAGAAAAATGTATAAAGAAATTTTGAAGGGGGGTTTACCTACTTTCCAGAAACATGTCAGGCGTGTTATGAATTAGCAGCAAACAGAAAAGCTTAATTCCTGTCCAGAAACAGAGCAGAATGAAGCCAAAGTTCACAACATAGGCTGAAAAGTATGAAATTAGCTGAAGTAGAAAAGAAATTACAAAGAAAAACTTTAATCTTATCTGGTTGAAGAAAAAATTAGTAGCTTAAGGATGGGAAGTAAAATGTTGAGGAAGATGGTATTGAATAAGTATTAACATTTTGAAATCATATGTGGAAATGTCAAGACTTGGCAAAACAATTTGAAATTAATTAAAATGTGTCAGTTGATCAGCATAAAGAAAACAGTGTCATCCTTAGAGGATTGAAAATCTACAAACCTATGTGCAAGACTGACCATGAGAAGCACAGGAAGGACAGAGAGAGAAGCTTATAGAAAGAGAGCTAATACCACTTAAGGAGCTGAATTTATCAAAAAATCTAACCTGCATGTTATGAGCCGCTGTGTTGATGACAGCACCGTTGGCAGGCTTAGGCTGCATGTTACGAGGTTAGCAGATGCTTTATTACAGTGTAAATCTTAGAACCTGATTAAGAAATATGCACTGAGGTGTGTGGTCAACAGGCCTTGGTAGTGTAATTTGAAGAAATTGGTTGAGTTTGGGTCATAGCTACGAGCCATACGGCACAATGAATGAGTGTATGTAAGGAAGAGGCTTTTATTTTGTAGAGTCCCTTTAGTCTTATTTTGAAAGTCTATCATGGATGTGTGTCAAGGGAAGGGTCATGCCCAGCAGTGATATAGAATCCATTTCTAAATATGAAATCACTGGTTTTCCATGTTATTGGGTGAATAGATGCTGTATTAGAGCGTAAATGGGAGACTTTTATTGTGAAATTCGCTCTAGGGTATGTTTTGAAAAGGTCCCTAGAGTCTAATAGAAACAAGCTGGTAGAGTTTGGGTCATAATGCTGAGCCATTTGCATCAATTAATATGCGAGTATAATATAGAGGCTTTTATTTTGTAGGGTCACTGGAGTCTTATTTTGAAAGTCTAGCAGTAGTGTGTTGAGAAAAGGGTCAGACCCAGCAGTGATACTTGATGACTTTCCAATCATTAAATCACTCTTTCCCCTGTTATTAGGGCAGTAGATGAAGTGGCAATGGGAGGCTTTTATTTTGAAATTTGCTGTGGGGTGTGTTTTGAAAAACCCCTAGAGTCTCATTTTTAAAAAAGTGGTTGAGTTTGGGTCATAATGTTGAGCCATATGCTGGGAAAAAAATATGAGTTTAATGTAGGAGCTTTTATTTTGAAGGGTCCCCGGAGTCTTATTTTGAAAGTCTATCAGGGTTGCGTGTGAAGGGAAGGGTCATGGTCAGTAGTCATATTGTATCCACTTCCTAATGTTAAATCAGTGTTGTCTCCCTCCATTAGATTAAAATGTGCTGTTTAAAGTGGTGGAGGTAAAATCTCTTTGAAGCACGGTTACCTTGACGACGCTTAACGAGCCTGTCAGTGAAAGAGAGACATGCGCTTCACTTTCGTTCCTTTGTTCTCAGGCTTTTTTGAATGGGAATAGCAGCTCCGAACAAACAGGTGCCGAAGACAAACCGTAAATGGTATCTAAAAAATTCTTTCAGTCTAAGCGAGAGCTATCCTTTGTCTCCGATTGTGGTAACTTTCATGGATGTAGCTCATTCACAGCCTTAATGGGAAGGAGAAATATAAAGGTTTGTAAATCCTGCTGGTCTCATTAAATAACATGCAGCTCAATGGTAGAGCAGAACTCTCAAAAGCAAAACTTTCCCTGCGAACAAACGAGCGGTGAGCCAAAACCGTAAAAGGTATTCAAAAAATTCTTTCACCGTGAGCGTCAGCAATCTTTGGACTACAACTGGTGTAACTTTCATATTTCTACAATATTTGGTCTAGGCGTGGTGACGATGTAAAAAAGTGTATAATTGTCAAAATCTTGATTTTGGGGTTCGGACAGATTTGTTACCCCCGAACAAACCTTTTTCCTAGCTAAACGATAAAAGATATCGACACACTTCCTTCAATGTGAGTGCTAGGAAGGTCTGAGGAACAACTTGCACAAGGCTCATGTTGCTAGGTCGAATGGTTCCAGAATGGGAGCGATACGAAAAAGTCTTTTTTTTTTTATTTTCAGTTCGGATTTTCAGAGAGCTCTCATTGGATTTCTATTGGGGAAGTGTGGACTTCTTCGTGGTCTGGGCCAAACTGTCGGAAAACTGTAAATCCCACACAAATGAGGGTTACATTTCCTGAATCCTGACAAAAATCCCTACGTTTTGATGTAAAATTTATCTAGATAGAGTAAAAAATGAGCGAGTGAGTTGAAGCTGTTCGGCATGAGTGAAATGTTTGAAAACGCTAGAGTGGCACACTAGCAGCTGAACATTCCGTCCATAGACTTCCATTATAAATTTGAAAATCTGTGAAAATTGTTTAAAAGTTTGAAGCTTCACTGAAGCAAAACTGTAAAAGTTAGCTGAAAGCCGAGTTAAACAGTAATAGCAGAAAGATACGGAAACATTTTAAAAGTTGAATGGTGTTTCTAGCTGAAAGTATGCTGAAGTAGTTAAAGGTCAAAGATGATGAAGTTTTAGCTGAATTTTGCTGAAATCTAAGAATTCTACATGCATTTCAATGGGACAAAAAAATCGCAGAAAAAGTTGAATATCGCGAAAACTACAAAAAATATCTTTACCAAAAGACATAGCACAATTCTCCTGAACAAGCTGAACGTTTTGATACCAAAATTGTTGAAATCGGTGGAAAACTGCGGGACTAGTTAGAGTCAGAAAAATTTTAAGAGAACAACAATAAGTGGGAATGCATAAGCATTCCCACTTGATTATAATCTAAAACAACACAGAAACCTATGAAGTTACTGAATAAAAGAAGAATTAATAAGTTGAACACTTATTTCTTAATGAACATAGATGGTGGGAGAGACGTTGTGCTGTTAGCGATGGTTCTGATTTCTCTCAGTGGAATATTTAAATGTGGTTACCTGAACTCACGAAAACCTTCCCAATCCACCATGCTAACCGCTAGCATGTCTTTTTTTTAATCATGTAATAAAAGTTTAGTGTAACGCTCTCCACTTTTCTTTCCTCCAATCTTCACCTTCCAAGCACAGCAGAGACGTTACGCTTCTCCTCCATGCAGCACGGCTAAATGGGGGATTTTTCGGAGATAACTTCTGAAGTTTATCCCGTGTTTTTATTCACAAACAGAACCACACAAATTAACCGTGTCCTTGTGTCCAAGTTACAGTGTAAATAATCCCTTAATTCGCTCTGGCATTACTTCTCTTACAAATCGCAGTGAGGTTTAGCTTAAAGGAAAAGTCCGGTCGGCAAGGAATATTCAGTGGATCATTATTTATACCTAAAACTAATACGTTTGTGATGTAATGAATGTAGCATTAACCAGTAAAAAAATAAAAACTATAATTTTCGACGTGATCACTGAGTCTGGTAGCGCCATACTCTCTGCTTTACAAGCAAAATCAATGGGAACAACTAGACACATCTGCAATCAACAACTATTATTTAAGATTTCCAGAGGACTTCACCATTAAAATTCACCAGAGCTATAGTGAAACTGACAATGCCCACGTGCATGGCAGCTGGATGCTGGAATACATCGGGTAAAAGTGAAAAGAAATAAGTTATTTCACTTTTCCGATTCCTGATCCTCCACGGACGGGTTGGTCGTTGGATTGCCAACTTGAAGAGGCCATCGAACTTCTGGCCAGAGAAAAAACACGTAATATGTAGCCAACATTTGGAAGAAGATCGTTTTCAAGATGCAGCACTGGGACTTGAACAACAGCCGATACCGCACTGTGACGTCACAAACCAGTAGGTGGCAGTAGTGTTCTTTGACAAACATGGATGCCTCCAGTAAAGCACATTCAGATGAAAATTACTCTTAATTAGAAACAATTATCATTTATTGAACAAAATGTAATAATTTTTATATTTAAAGTACTTTCAGAAGTTTGAATTCTGAATATGAGCGGACTTTTCCTTTAAGAAACAACAGTGGGACCCTCTAGTGGACAAAGGTCACATTACATCGACAACCCTAAGCCCATTACTGAAAAAAAAAAAAAAAAAATTTTTTCTATTTTAAATCCAAAATTTGTATAAATTCTTTTACAATTTTGATATAATTACTGCTCTATGTTGGTTGATCTGTCAGCTAAAGGCATGTTTTAGAGTCTTTATACTCCAGTTATCGATCACTAAATCAGCTGACGATTAGTGAAATTTCCCAGTTGAACAACAGAAATTAGTTAAATATTTGCAATTATTATCCAAATTTGGGTTAAAAATGTTCATGTTGAACTAATTAATCACTCAATAAGACGAGATAGATGGTTCTACAATTTCAACAGCTGAAATTTTTCAATCATGAGGCCAGATGTAGCCCTAAATATCCACAGCTCAATGAGCTCAGAGAACAGAACAATATTAAAATGTGAATTTAAAATAAAATCTAGTCAATCAAAGGTGTCAGTTTAGACTAGTGGCTCAGAACAGGCTGAGAAAGCTAATGAGAAATGATTATTACCAGGGTTTATCTCTGACTCAGCTGCCGCTTCGCTCAGCACCTCAGTCTGCTGCTCTTCTGAAAACAAACAGTTTAGAGATCTCCTAACAGTCTTTTAAACGAGATCAAGTTACATTTTCTATAAATATTTCCCAGGAATACCTTTGCAGCTTATATGACCGCTGAGGTTTGTCACCGCAGACTGGAGTTCCCTTTTGAATCTCCTCCTGCATGCAGCCAGTTCTGCCGATTTACAAAATAAAATCAGCTTTAATATCTGAAACAAACACATCAGAAAACTGCTTTAACTGTGAAATGACTGACTTTTTCTGTGGTCAACCTCTGGATTGGTGCTCAGTCCAGGACGGGTTTCACACACGGACATTCTCACCATCATGGCGGTTTTCTCAGGGACATCTTTGGTACAAACCTTCATGAGAGAAAAGAACTGGTCCTGGAAGAAAAAAATTCTCATCGCTAAAACATCTCCTATAATCATGTCACCGTTGAAACATCCAGTTTAGTCAGCAGCTGTTGTTTACAAAATAGCTAAATAAATAGGCAAGGTCCTTTCTAAGCTGTTTTGAGTTGTCATTTTAAACGCCGAGAGAGTGTCTTTTTCCAACTTCTGTGATCAGCCTGACAGAAATAAAAGTCAGTCACCAAACACAGTTTTCCAATTTGTAGTGAGTTTTTATAATTTTTCCATTGGTGATATTAGAAAATGGAAACTGGCTGATAGCAGGACACAAAAATTAAGACTTACTGAAAAGATGAGAGTGTAGACTTTCTGGTTAATCCCGTTCTAATGCAAAATATGAAACATTACTGGATTAATGGCATTTCAAGTATACGACATGCTATCACACATAAAAAAAATTTTAAAAATCTGGAAACAGCTGCTTTTTATTTCCCAAAGATATGGGAGGAGGAGGAGAGAATGGATATTCCAGCTGCCTGAAATAATCTGGTTCTTCTCCATAACATGGGAAGAAATGAATGTACCTGCAAGTCTTTAACTGTGTTTATTCTTCTATTGATCAACAACAACTCATGAGGATTTGGTGATATTTGATCATTATTTGCCAGAGTTAAGATGGGAATCATATTTTAGCCACCTGCAGGGTTCGCACACCTTTTCCAAAGTCAAAATCAAGCACTTTCAAGATCCATTTCAAAACTTTTTCCAGCACCTTACACCACCACCTGTTCTCGGCCAGAACCAGTTTTGTGCAGATGACTGCCGGGGGGGGGGTATTACTCCTCTGCCATGGCGTGGTAATATAACCAACCAGAGAGTGTTGCAATTCAGTATTATCAGCCGTAGAGTTATCAATGCTGTTTTAAGGTCTGGGCCTGGCAATGAATTAAAACTTCTTTTTTTATTTTATATTTTTTTGGAACATTGGCGGGGCGGTTGCGTGAGTTTGGCGAGTAGCCAAGATAGTGCTGCGGGAAACACTGCAATACTAACATTACATTATCACACTGTACTCTCAGTCACTCAGTAACTTAGCCTGTGAATTCCTAGCTAGCAGGTACTACTAGGAATGCAATATAATCGGCCCCCTATCTGCATCGGCTTTTATCGGCCTTACAACTGAATATCGGACTTCGGCCACCCCACCGATATTTAACCCGATATTTGATCAGCTTCTGAGTTTCTAAAGTCTAAAAAAAAAAAAATACTACTTCTTCTTCTTCCTCAAAAACTTTTTTTACGGACTTAAAAACTTCTAAAGACGAGGGAAAAAACATTGATACATTAAAATATCACAATATCTTCATATGCTGATATATTGCCATTTAAAAACACCATATCAATCTCTTTTACTAATGAAATATTGCTATATGTCATCGTTATGCTACGAAAACCCCCGAAAATTCACGAAATTTTGCCATATTTTTTATATGTTGATATATTGACGCGGTATCGATCTATTTTACTAACAAAATCTCACAAGAATTTGCAAAATATCAGGAGAGTTTGTAACAGAACGAGGAAATTTCACGAGATTTTGAAAGTAAAATAGATCGATACCGCGTTTTTAAAAATCTATTTGATATCAGCATATGAAAATATATTTGAGTATATTATTTTTCAAAGTGTCAGAAATGGATTAAAAAACTGCTATTTTCAATGACTACTTATTTTTTTCCAGCTTTAACATCGGTATCGATATCGGTTATCGGCTAGATGAGTTTTAAAATATCGGCATATAAGATATCGGCCAAAATCCCAATATCGTGCATCCCTAGTTACTAGCGTAAACAAATAGCCGCTAACGTTAACGTGTACTAGGCTACTTCAGTTGGCTTACTTAAAAAGTCTGACTTACCCTTCATGTGACTCGAAAGCGCAGACTCGCCCATTGTGAAAAAGCTGCACATAATTTTTGCAGACTTTACAAGAGGCAACTCGTGGGGTTTGTCCCCATTTAATCCATAATTTGTATTTTTCATTTTCCAGCCAACGTTCATTGAAACGACAACCTCCCGGCATGGTGCAGTAGTGGTTTCATGGGGGCGGAGTCACACATGGAAATAGACTGGCAGATCGCAGTCACACATAAGCGAGCAGGTTTCATTTTCGGGCTCTCCAACATTTTATTTCTCCATTTAATAAACACAGGATTCAGTTAGATAGGTATTTGTTGCGAAAGAAATAGTTACAATTTCAAGCATTTTCAAGCATTTCAAACCTTGAAAACACAACGTCAAAATTCAAGCATTTTCCAGCACCCGTACGAACCCTGCACCTGATATAATCCGTTCCCCCTTTATGAAATGTATTTTCTGTTTAAATGTTTTTCTAACAATTAAAAAATATCCACACAAAAAAAAAATGTAAACCAAAACCACTGGACTTTGTTTTCCAAGTTTGAAGTTGTCCACTTTCCATCCAGAAAGATTTCTCAATGCAAACCGTCTGGAGCAATGTTGTTTTGAATTCAGAATTAAAGTACATTTCACAAAGATCATCAAACCAACGGTCATAGTTATTTGAACTATTTTGGATTTCAAAATATAAAAGAATAAATGTTTCAAACATGATATAAAAAAATGTTTCAAATTAAGTTAATAAAATTTATAGTTTCAAAATTAACAGGATTTGTTTTTCCATGTTATGAAAGGGGACAGATTATATCGGTGGCTAAGATATAAGATTCCCCTCTCATAACTCTGGCAAATAATGATCAAAAGTCTCCAAATACACAGTTTGTTGTTGATGAAGAGAGGAATAAATAGTTAAAGGCTTGCAGGTACATTAATTCCTTCCCATGTTATGGAGGGGGATTGTTATGTGTGATAGCATGTAGTATACTAGACATTTATTTCATTCAGTAATCTGTCATATTTTACATTTTTACCAGAAAGTCTACTCTCTCGTCTTCTCTCTCAGTGCTAGGCCCCTGATCTCCTAGAATCCTAGATCCGCCCCTGGTCGCAGCTCCAAGTTATTTTTAAAATCTCACTTCAAGGTTTGGTGAAAAGTTGGCAGCCCTGCAATTATGGTCTACAACTATTCAATGAAAGAAATAAAAAAACATAACAAAAAAAAAATCATATTTCATAGGAATTATAATCATTTATCAGTTTCTTATTTCATTCTTACCGTTATGAGTGCAACTGCCCGCTCTCCCTCCCCCGCGGCTGAGCGCTGCAGAGCGGACACCCCGCTGCTCCAGCTCCCGCTCAGGAGGATCCTGCGGAGCTCCGTCCTTGCCGCCTCCAGCAGAGCCTCCATTAGAGCCTGAACCTGCTTCTCGAACATCTCCAGACTCAACATGACTTCAACCTGTTTTAGAAACGTCGGAGGAAACGTTTGTTTTCTTCTTTTTCTTTCTTCTTCTAGTTTAATGGCAGATCGCAACCTTAACTTTTAGGTGCATACCGCCACCTACTGTACCGGAGTATGTAGCGTGGCCCATATCAATGTGATGATTATATATATATATATATATATATATATATATATATATATATATATATATATATATATATATATATATATATATATATATATATATATATATATATATATATATATATATATATATATATATATATATATATATATATATATATATATATATATATATATATATATATATATATATATATATATATATATAATCCGTTCAAAAGTTTGGGGTCACATTGAAATGTCCTTATTTTTGAAGGAAAAGCACTGTACTTTTAAATGATGATAACTTTAAACTAGTATTAACTTTAAAGAAATACACTCTAAACATTGGTAATGTGGTAAATGACTATTCTAGCTGCAAATGTCTGGTTTTTGGTGCAATATCTACATAGGTGTATAGAGGCCCATTTCCAGCAACTATCAGTCCAGTGTTCTAATGGTACAATGTGTTTGCTTTTGAAATCATGTTCCCACATCTGAAAACAGTTTAGCTCGTTACAGAAGCTACAAAACTGACCCTCCTTTGAGCATCATATTTGTGGAGTCAATTAAACGCTTTAAATGGCCAGCAAAAGAGAATTTCCATCTGAAACTTGACAGTCTATTCATGTTCTTAGCCCTTTAAAGCCCGATCCAAGAATAAAACAAAACAGAAAATTACTTTTTTTTTGGGGTTTGAAGTCCTTATTTGGCCTTTTAACAACATATGTAAAAAGAAAAAACAGAAATACATTTTTGATATTAATAATTAATTACTATGCGATAAGTCAAGATTATTTTTTGTGTAGTCTTCTACAGGCTGTTATCAGATATATCTGATTGTGTACAGTAGGATTTTGAGCAAAGTTTTTACCATTAAATTATGCAAAAGGTGTCAGACGCAAAACATTTCAGAAACCGTATGTATACATTTGGCATTACAGGGTTAAATAGGAAGGCTATTCCATGCGAGAAATTGCTAAGAACACAAACATACATACATCCATATATACATATACCTTTAAATCTTAAAATATAAATCTGTATTCTTAAGATATTTAATAACAGTTTTCTGCGTTTCCTTTATCTCCTCTCCTGTTGTTCCTATTAATCCTTTCAAATTCCATTCCCTTCCTATTTGTCTTGTTTTTTGTTTTAATCTTATCCTTTCTTCATCGTATTTCCTACAATATAATAAAATATGTTCTACATTTTCTAGTACTTTACATTCGGTACATTCATCTGTTTCACTTTTCTTTAATAAAAATCATGTTTTATTTAACCCAGTATGATCAAATCTTAGCCTTGTTAAAATAGTCTCCTCTCTTCTATTCTTTCTAACCACACCTTTGGCATTAATAGATTTCTGTACACTGTAATAATTTCTTCCACTTTTATCCATGTTCCATCTATTCTGCCATTTTCTTTTTTAATTATTGTCTTAGCTTCTCCTTTCTCATACGGTATGTTTATAATATCATTTGTTCTGATGGATTTTTTAGCTATAAGGTCTGCTCTTTCATTTCCATTTATCCCTACATGGCCTGGAACCCAACAAAACTTTACATTTATATAAAGTTTTTGTATTCTGAACAAACTTTGATATATTTCTAATAATAAATCTTCTTAGATCACTTAGAAATGGGGTATGCAAGTCCACCCCTCAGTGAGATCTGGAAGCATAACATCTATATCCAACTATTCAGCAAAGATGCTGCTACATGGCTGCACATCTTATTTTGGCATTTGACCAATTAGATGAGCCCTTTAATGATATATTATATACTGTAAATTAAGTTGAAAAGAAAAAGTCAACAAGTAAAGAGACAAAAGTAAAAAGCTAATTGTAAAGTTAAAATGTTAATACGCCTCCAAGGTTTGTTTCCCTCTCAGAGTTTTTTTCATGAATTTCTTATAGAGGCACTTTTGTTATCTTTCTTAGTATATTCGGGCAAGTATGTGTTTCTTGTTATTACATTGACATACATTTTTTCCATTAAAATGTGCATATATTTTGAATGTTACAAAGGTAGTAATGATCTAAAAAATTTGGGAAAAATTTCTTACATTTACATGTGCATTTTTATCCATAAAATCAAATCGTTTTGATATTATACACTTGAAATATGAGACTGATTTTTTTTTTCCTTATTTTAAATGTAAATGTTTTTATTCCATTTGCAGAGTGTCTCTCTTTCCTGCTCAATTCAAGAAAAAAATGCACATATTTTACCAAAAAATTACGTTAGATTTCAGTTTTTTGCAGTGCACTCTTTGTTTGAAAGTTAGATATTTAAAGTCTTTCCCTGAGTGCCCTATAAAAGGTGTTACGGCTCCCCCCTCTTTTCTGGGGAGAGAGGGAAGTAACCTGACAGCCACACAAAAAATTCAGAGACCACGTGAATGTTAGAAAAGAAAATAAGGGATTTGTTGGTTACAGAAAATCCAAATCAACTCATACAAATGGTGGGGGAGAAAGGGAGGATTAGGCGGTGCAAAATCAAAGAAAACAATAAAACAAAAACAGGGCCTACCTACGGTCTAAGCTACATAAAACAAATGAAACAAAACCCTGCTAACCTAATATAACAAAAAGATTCACCAAAACTTTACAGGGGTGGCATCCACCTACTTACCTAGTGTGTTTAACAGAAAGTCTCTTACGTGATGAAATGTACAGGGTACCCTTACCTTGTCCACAAATTCCCACCATAGACCATTAAACACTCAGAACAGAACATGCAGCAAGCAAGCCAAGGGGGGGAGGAATCTCCAGGTGGCATGCTTATATTGGACCTCCCTAGATCCTGATTGGTCCAAGGGTGGAGAGAATCAATCAAGGGGAGATTGATCCCAGCGTCTGCTACCTGTGTAGAAGCAAAGGGAAGGGGGGGAGGGGAAAGAAAAACAAACAGCCTGGCAGGCATGTAACAAGGGTTAAGTTTTCAACGACATTTCCAGAAAAAAACAGAGAAATATAAAAATCTCAAGTGTATAACCTTGCCAACTGTGAATGTGAATTTAAACCTTTCTGTCCAGCAGTCGACAAAGCTCTGCACCTGATCAGAAACAGAAGAAAGGCACACATCCGTCTGGCCCCACCCAGGACACGGCTAAAAACAAAGGGCGATAGGGCCTTCGATGCCGCAGCTCCTCATCTGTGGAATGCCCTCCCAGACCACCTTAGGGCCCCACAGACGGTGGATTGTTTTAAGAATGGACTAAAAACTTTCCTTTTTAGAAATGCCTACAATTGTTGATTTTAGACTTTTTTTAATATGCCTTTGAATGTATTGATTTTAATGATTGTCTTTTTACTCTGTTTTTAATGTTATGGTCTTTTAAACCTGTTTTAATTTTCCCTTTTTTTTTAATGTAGCACTTTGAGATTTGAAGTCAAATGTAAAGTGCGTTACAAATATAATTCATTATTATTATTATTTACATCCCCGTGATCATTCCCAGGAAGCCAGCTCATCCGCAGAGATCTGGAAAGTTAAAAGCAGAAGAAAGTCTGGAGAACAAAGAGAAAATCAGACCTCCAGCTGCAGGAAAGCCAGATGTTTCAGCTGCATAGTAATCCCTGGCAATGGGATTTTTGTTTTCCAACCATCTCAAATCATCTCAGCAGAGACCCAAACAGATCTCTGCTTCAGGAGCTGACAGCTGCCTCTGTCTCTTGCTTCTGATCCTCCACTGTTCTCAGGTTTCCCATGCTCGGTTAAACTCCAGGTATTTACCTCATTAACTGTTCACGCCTGATTAGGCGACTCCACGAGGCGCAGAGGAGGTCTTGCTTTAAGAAACAAAACATTTAGTCATTATTCACTGGCAGGTGAAAAGAAACATTTTTATCCTCCATCACCTTAATCACTTGAAACTTAAATGCCAAATTTGATGATTGAAATCATAGATCAGATTTTCAGGAGACATCATGTGGCATCTTTCTATTTCTCTTTCCCCCCATGACAGTTTAGAATAAGCCCAGTCTTAAGCCAGTATAACACTGCTTTACCACCCTTCTAATGGCCGGATTTATTATGTTTAATAAGCCTTAATAAGCCTTCTAATTATACCTCAGCTTTTTTTTCATTTTAGTACAAAAGTTTATATGGTTGGAAAAAAACTGCAGCTGTTATTTTACTCATATTTCAGAAATTAAGTTTAAAGAACTGTCGTATTTTAAAATTGGAGCTGCATTATTTCTGAATAAGTGTGCTAATCGGAAAGATTTAGGATGGGAATAATTTTATCATGAAATGCAACAGATCTGAAAGATATATATAGTATGATTTTGAAAATTAACCTCCAGCTCCTGTAAAATTCAGTTCATTTTTTTTTTGTGAGATCATCCCTTATTTAAAATAATATATCTGTGTGCTGCATCAATCTAAACCTGTAATAAAGCAATTCTGTAGTAGCTCTGCTGTCTGTTTTATAGAGATACCTCGACTTGCTGTTCATGATGCAGTGCACTGTTAGCAGCTTCCTATAAAATAAATCATTATATAAATAAAGTCTAAAGAGAAATAAATTAAATATATTTCAATTATATATCATAAATTAAAATAATCTAATTACCATTGATGATATAAGAGACGGAGACCATGTTTTGAAAGCATGCATAGCCCAAAAAAAGCCCATATTCTTCAGCTACAACAGTATACATGTCAGATTAAATAATTCTACTTATACTTCATGGTTTATTTTGATGCTTTATTGCATCTCTTATACTATATCCATTGGTTGTGCTGTTCATTTTATATCTCGTTGCAGGTGATGAAGCAGACTGAAGATGTTTTATCATTATCTCCCTTTTATCTCCTTTCTTTATTTTTTCTCCTTTTTTCTGTTTTTCCTTTCCTGTTCTACTTACATTGCAGTGTTTATAAAATCTGTAAAACTCCCTGCATGAATTATAATAAAGCTATTTATATGCATAAATCAAGCAGAACACTAT